TTCACAGGCAGAGAGCTGGGATCTTAAAGGTACCTACAAGCAGGATATGATCACTGCCTGTCCCAGCAATAATCATTCTGTCCGTGAGTGCTAGCAGTCATTCTTTGGGAAATGGTTAATTGCTTACATTTTAATATATGAATATGCATGCTCAGGCCAGATCAGCTATATGCTCATGCAATGATTGCTTGACAAAAAGACATTGTGGCATATAAAATGTGCTGAGTAGGTATCTATAGATAAACTGAAGCCGCCAGAGTGCTCAGCAGGTTGCTACTAGTCATTATGAGAGTTGAAACAGCAGATTTTAAAGAGGGGGGAGTGGGTGAAGACGTTGATGGGGATTGAGGCCACCCCAATCCATCAACATGTAAAAAATAGTTTTGGGTACAGCTACTTCAGATATTTCTTTTAACATTTCAGCCTCTTATTATCCCTGAATTTTGAATAAATAACTCCCAGATGATTCCTGGGTAAATGCCCTGCAGGGTCACCAAGCAGGTATAAGGACTCATCACTCCCGCAACAATGTTAGAGAAAATAAACCAGAAAAGATAGTGGGCTTTTTTTTTGAAATATTACTGCACAAACATATAAATAAAATTACAATATTGTATTAATACATCTCGTGATAACCCCACACTCTAAATTTCTGCCTCATAAGCCAAAATATAGAGATTACTGAATACATTGTGCATGTCCGAGGGTTCATAAATCAATGCTGAGCAATTCAATTTCTCCATATGTGGTCCAAATAAAATGACAGTCAGGGGCTGCTTTGTAAATACAGCAACTCTAATGGCTGCTTCTGGGAAAATACAGACTGCCTGATACCATGTTTATAAACATTGTTCAGACAAAATAAAGAGATAAAGTAATATTGGTAATTTTGAATCTATTTTGTTTCATTAATCTGCAGATTAAAGGAATGAGCTTTCATCGGCATATGATATCGGTTAAAGTTGCTGTTTTTGTGGGTTTTTTTTCATGCATTTTGTTCCCATTTAACCCCTATTAACACTGTTACCCTAATCAGCCCTAATTAACTCCTGAAGCCTATATGGCAGTATACTAGTGATAGCACTATACCTCTAACCCCTCCTACAGGACCAGTAAAAAGCTTAAAAGTGAAGGTGTACAGACCGCCAGTATTCTCCTTTTTCCCCTCAGACCTCTTCTGCCGACCTGTGTACCAAATGTCCCTATCGGTTTCCACCTGGCTTCAGCCTCTTTTAGGTGCAGTTCCAGACTTTTAGCTGGAACTAAATGTCCCCAAAGGTTAAGACTGCCTTCTTTAAAGATCTTTTGGAGCAAACAGCGTTTCCAAGCTAGGAATAATCTTGTTGTCTATTGGCTGGGGTCAGCAGCAAACTGCCCTTTTCTGTTACTTTCCTGTTGTCTTCTTCAATTCCTATCCCACTGCTAAGCTCTTCCCTTCACTGGTGTTCAGCCATGTGTCACATAGTCACGGTGTACCTACCTATGAAGGCCCCTACTGCTCTGCCTGAGGAACTTTCCCTCATACCCTGTCCATTTTCCTTCTCCTACTTCCTCTGGTGAATTCTATGTTGTATAGTGGCAAAGCCTCTCATTCATTTCTTTTTCCTTCTACATGTGGCGTTTGTCTCAATCTACTTTTATCATTTGGCAACTCTCGGTCCCTTTACTTGCTTGTTTGCCAGTCATGAGCCAATCACCAATATTACAAGATGTTCATATGCCATCTAGGTCACGGACCACCTTGTTAAGCAAGGTGTTTACAAATTGGAAAAAAGAGAGTGCTCTGATGCTATTCTCTGCTTCCTGCCCACCGTAGCTTTTCGTCACTCTACACTAACAGTGGCCTGGGGGAAATCATGCTGGTCCTATGATTCTACACTCCTGCCAGATAAGCTGGTTTGTAAAAAATGTCTAGGAGGTCTCTCAAGAGAGTGAGATTCGGATTGGCCACAGGTGTTGTCCGTCAGGTGGTGTGAGAAGCTGACAGAATTCATGGCATGTTTGTCCACCTCGGCGCATTGCCAGTCCCCCTTTCAGCCCTCTGGTTCTTACCAACCCCTAAGCATGTGATGATGGAGCCTCTGGGAATTCTCAAAACTCAACAGGATTTTCCAGGTCCTTCCTCAGCTTTATCTGCCTCATGAACATCAGCTTCTGCACTACGACAAAGCGAACAGCCGTTTGGAGGAAAATCACTGCTCCTCATAGAATGGAAGCAAGAAACTTCAGGGTTCGATTTTCTCTCATTCAACTGTACGTGCAAGCAGTGAGACAAGCCATTGGTTTGAAGGGCATGGTCTAACTGCTCAGAAAAATGAAAAGGTTTTACCTATTGTGCCGCCCCAATAGGGGCATAGAATATGAGATGCATAGCCTCAGTTAATATTAGCATTGTTATATAGGTTAGAATTTATATAGTGTGATTTACCTAACTATTTTCTCATAGCTAAATCCATGTGTTATCCTATGCTGCCATCTAGTGGCCTTTTGTTGTAACAAACATGCTTTCTGTAATCCTCATGTGACGACGTATTTTCCCCTAGTGTACGCCCCTTCCTTCTTCCTGTGTGCAGTACTTCCTGTGTCATGGCCACAGTTAAAAGCTACATGTAACAAGGACACACATGTAATCTGCACAGTACGTAGGAAAGGCATCATTTTCTGACCGCACAATACTATAACCATTCATCTGCTGTTCCTATCATCTGATGTAACCCTGATGTTAAAGAATAAACACCTCTTTTGAATGAATCGGTATTGACGAGTTCAGCTATCTGACGAGGATTGTCCGCAGTGAGTATATCTGCTTATACAGGCCAGGCATAGAGGTCTCAGCAAGGGATATATTTCGCTATCACAACAATCGGAGTCAGAATAGTCAGAAAATGCATAGAATTCTTACAGCCTGCTGTGTATATGTGTGTGCCTAATCTGCAATCAAGATCAGTGCAAGCCGCCATCTTGTGAAAGCACATGGTCGCACAAGCTTACTGCACTTCATGTGAATGTTGAAAACTGTTTCTCTACATTGAACTGTGTTACCCCACCTGTCTAAGCTGCTGTTCGTCTTCTTAAAGAGACAGTACCATTTTTTGCAAAAACGTGAAAAATGTCTAGACAAGGCTCTGAACACTCTTTTATGGCTGAACCAACGCAGATACATCATGCCTCTGAACCCGCAGACGTACAGGGAGCAGATTCTGCAGACATTGCCGAACAGAGTGTGAGACCCAAACGTACAGTAAAACCAACACAGAAACTCAGAGAAAACTATGAAGCCACTAGAGATGAGTTCTCCAGCAATCTGTCAGACCTCTGGGACAGAACTTCACACTGCATGTCAGTTTTGTCACACTTTAATGATCAACCAGCTGAATTGAGAGACTCTATAGATCGCCTAACTGCTGCGTATGAACGTTACCAGCGACTGTCTGCAAAATACACAGCTTTCTTGCAGGACTGTAATATAGAGGACTCTTCAGCAGAACTGACCAGGGCTGATGCATTGAACCAACAAAGGGATCTCTTAGTGCAAAATGCTCAGTGTAAGGCAGAACTCCGCATTGCTCAACTGCAGGAGACCAGATCTCACAGATCGACATCAACCAAGCATACTGCACGTTCTTCTAGATCCTCTCGCTCCAGAAGTTCAACATTAAGCGACAAGCTAATAGAGGCCCGCGCTGATGCTGAATCCAGAAAAGCGCAAAGCTCCCTTGCTAAGAAAGAAGCAGAGATGGAAGCTCAAAGCAAAACTCTTCAAGCAGAGGCAGAAGCCCAAAGCAAAGCTCTTCAAGCAGAAATGGCAGCTCGCCAAGCAGAGATGGCAGCTCGCCAAGCAGAGATGGAAGCTCAGAGCAAAACTCGCCAAGCAGAGATAGAAGCTCAGAGCAAAACTCGCCAAGCAGAGATGGAATCCCAAATAAAGATTCTGCAAATGGAGAAAGAGGAAGCAGGTGCCCTTGCAAGACTGAAAGTCCTTGAACAAGCAATGGGACAAAGTACTAACTCAGACTGTCTTATTCCAGCAGAACTGGAAGATCCAATTGAACGCACCAGTGAATATGTGCTAAAGCATAATGTTTGCAATGATACAGAGTCATCTCCTGTACCTCCTACTAACAACACTGTTCTGACTCTCAACACAGAGACCTCTCAGATCCAAATGCCTGAGCCTCCTCAAGTCTACAACACAAGTGCATCTACGCAGCAAACCACATCAACTCCTGCCAACAACAAGGTGACTTCCAGCGACAAGCCGCAGCTCAAGCCACAGCCAGCAGAAGCCTTAGAGACTACACCACAGTTAAGCGCTCATGCAACATCATTCTATCCTGGTAAACCTCACCCTTCTTCACCAGAGAACTTTCACACCCAAGGGGTTCCACAAGTTACTTTGGCACCAAAGAGTGAGAGATCAGACTTGAATGACTTCGCCAGATATATGGCACGCCGTGAGCTCATTAACACTAGCCTCTCAAGGTTTGATGACTGTCCAGAGAGCTACAGGGCCTGGAGATCAACCTTCAAGGCTGCTATTGCTGATCTCAACCTTACTACCAAGGAGGAACTTGATTTGCTGATAAAGTGGCTGGGGCCAGAATCTGCAGATCGTGTTAAAAGACTGAGAACAGTACATGTTGACCACCCAGATGCAGGTCTTGTTGCTGCATGGGCAAGACTGGAGCAAGCCTATGGTAGCTCAGAAGCCATAGAAAGCGCTCTATTCAAGAGACTGCAAAACTTCCCAAAAATAGGGAACAAAGACTATCGCAAGCTCCAAGATCTGAGTGACCTCCTCATGGAGCTAGAGTTGGCAAAGACAGACCCACGTCTACCTGGACTAAGTTTCCTGGACACTGCTCATGGTGTCAATCCAGTGGTGTCTAAACTGCCATACGGCCTGCAAGAGAGATGGGCACAACAGGGCTCAAGGTACAAAAGAGACTATAACGTATCTTTTCCTCCATTCTCATATTTTTGCAGGTTCATCAGTGAACAAGCCTGGATGAGAAACGATCCCAGCTTCAGCTTCAGTGAACCCAACTTGCCTGCTTCATCATCATCACCCTCCTCAAGGTATGATAACACAGCAGCTAAACACAGAGACTTTAATAGAGCAATATCTGTTAAAAGGACAGACATCTCACCACCCGTATACTCACCTGCATACCAGAGTGATTCGGATGATAGAGATAAAGATCCTAATCGTCAGTGCCCTATTCACAAGAAGCCTCACCCTCTTAAGAAATGTCGTGAGCTGAGGGCAAAGACTTTACAAGAGCGCAGGGAGATTCTCCAGAAACTTGGAGTATGCTACAGGTGCTGTGCTTCTTATAGTCATTTTGCTAAGGACTGTAAAGTTGTCATCAAGTGCACAGAATGCAGTAGCGACAGACACGTAACAGCTATGCATCCTACTCCACTTTCAGACAATCCACAGCAGCCTCCTACCTCCAACCCTCTCTCAAATCATGGCGGGGAGCAACAAAGTCATGCTCCAGCCACAACAAGTGTTTCTTCCTTATGTACTGTAATCTGTGGAGAGAGCCAAGGGCAACCACTTGCAACAGTTACATCAAAATGTAGTGAACTACATCACAAAAGACCTTGGGGAAAGACTCTTGCAAAAATAGTTCTTGTCAAGGTGTTTCGCCAAGGACAACCTGAAAAGGCAATCAAGATGTATGCAGTCTTAGATGACCAAAGCAGTCACTCACTTGCCACTTCAGAGTTCTTTGACTTATTCGGCATAAAGGGTAACATGCTATCCTACACATTGCACACCTGTGCTGGTACAGTGCAACTCACAGGAAGAACCACCAATGCTGAATTCATCATTTCTCCTATAAAAGGAACGGAGAGAATTGATCTTCCTCAGATCATTGAGTGCAATCAGTTGCCTAACGACAGGGAGGAAATTCCTACACAAGAGGATGCACTTCGTGAACCTCACCTAAAACATTTAGCTGACTGCATCCCACCACTTGACAACGATGCCAAAATAATGCTTCTCTTAGGCAGAGACATCCTGAGAGTACACAAGGTACGTCAGCAGCACAATGGCTGGAATGATGATCCTTATGCCCAAAAGACTGACCTTGGTTGGGTACTTATTGGAATCAAACGAGATTGCGAACCTCAAGCCTCAGGTGACGTATGCTCCAATAAGATCATCGTACAGGTAAACCAAGGCAACATCACTACACCACCCTGCAATAGTTCCGGTAAGACTATGCACCAGATTTCCTTCAACAGCTCGGACGGGCAGGAATCCACTGATGCAAGCACCCAGGACAACGCACCTGATTCCTCAACCATCACTCCAGTAACTCCACAAGCAGTAAACCTCTTGGGAAACTCATCGGAGTCTTCTACACCAATCATCGTGCAAGATGATTCTCCTCTTCATGAAGAAGCCATAGACCTGCTACCAAAGACTCAAGGTATGCTTTCTGAGACCAACCTTAGACACCATAAGACTGTCTCAAACAATGTTGTTGTTATGAAAGCCTTTCAACCTGGCGATCATGCCACAGGGTTTAAAGACTTAAATCTGGGAATGGACATGCCACCTGTACAGAGAAGTCTGGGCCTACGGTGGAACTTATCAAAAGACACCTTCGGCTTTCAAGTCAGCTCTGCAGACAAGCCATTTACCAAGCGTGGTGTTCTGTCAGTGGTGAACAGCCTATACGATCCAGTGGGATTTGTGGCTCCCATCACCATACAAGGTAAATCCATACTTAGACAACTCTCAGAGACTATCAAAGATTGGGATGCTCCACTACCAATAGACAAGCTTTCAAAGTGGGAGTCCTGGAAACAATCTTTACATGCCTTAGATGGAATCTGTATACCACGCTGCTACACTTCAGCTTCCCTTGCTACCAGTCAGAGGAAAGAGCTTCATATCCTTTCAGACGCATCTACTGTGGCCATAGCAGCTGCTGCCTACCTCAAGGTGAGAGACTCTTCTAATCACACCCACATAGGGTTTCTGTTTGGGAAAGCTAAGTTAGCACCCAAGCCTGAACACACAATTCCTAGGCTTGAACTTTGTGGGACTGTGCTAGCTGTAGAAATTGCAGATTTCATACTGCGTGAGCGAGACATTCAGATAGATGACATCAAATTCTACACAGACAGCAAAGTTGTTCTGGGATACGTATACAACCAGACTAAACGTTTCTATGTCTATGTCAGCAACCGTGTAGAAAGAATCAGGAAATCATCTAAACCTGAACAATGCTATTATGTCCCGTCAGAAATGGATCCTGCAGATCATGGCACCAGGCCAATGTCTGCAAGTATCTTTGCAAATTCTTCTTGCTCAACAGGTCCTGAATTCCTGCTGGATCATCCAGAAGAAGCAACAACTGATGTCGTCAGTCTTCTAGATCCTGACAACTATCCAAAGATCCATCCTGAAGGCAAAACCCTTGTAACCAGAACTGAACAAGGACACGTCTTGGGCTGTCAACACTATGGACGTTTCTCCAAGTGGACAAGGCCTGACCGCACTACAACAAGGTTAGTCCATGCTACACACTGCCAACACACTAAGCCCACAGATGCCTACTGTCAGGACTGGCACATATGCCAAAATCTTCTTTTTGCAAAAGACATTGCTCAAAGTGAGCTGATTTTACTGCACGAGGCAGAACAAAACATCTCTAGCACAGAGATAAAATGTGTCCGTGACAAGCAGGACATTCATAAAATCCATCCAACTGCCAAGCTGAATCCATTTATCAACAGTGATGTGTGTACGGATTCAGACTTCACAGCCATCTTTACCTCGGCTACTCTTCGCATGCAGAAGATTGGAACTGTGCTTGTTTCACATGGAGACTTTGCACCTGGAGTTACATGAGCCATGTTCTTCAGGTACCTACGTGCACCATGCACATCCAGTGAAGGACTTATTCGAAGTGCCTTCTGCCTGCCAAAGAGACTATCTTGTTTCTCTATTAAGGAACTTAACAAGTTGCCACCCACGGAGTGACTTACTGCACTTGAAAGGACTGTTCCAGATTTCATCTTATATTTGAATTGTGGATATATGTTCTTTCTTTATTTTCAGGTCCAGAGGACAAGTTACAAGTTCACATTTATGGACTTTAATAGTTGTTAATTGTTTATTTGCATAACTACCGTTATGATGTAAATAGTGGCATTACCATGCCAGACGGGGAGTGTGCCGCCCCAATAGGGGCATAGAATATGAGATGCATAGCCTCAGTTAATATTAGCATTGTTATATAGGTTAGAATTTATATAGTGTGATTTACCTAACTATTTTCTCATAGCTAAATCCATGTGTTATCCTATGCTGCCATCTAGTGGCCTTTTGTTGTAACAAACATGCTTTCTGTAATTATTCCTCATGTGACGACGTATTTTCCCCTAGTGTACGCCCCTTCCTTCTTCCTGTGTGCAGTACTTCCTGTGTCATGGCCACAGTTAAAAGCTACATGTAACAAGGACACACATGTAATCTGCACAGTACGTAGGAAAGGCATCATTTTCTGACCGCACAATACTATAACCATTCATCTGCTGTTCCTATCATCTGATGTAACCCTGATGTTAAACAATAAACACCTCTTTTGGATGAATCGGTATTGACGAGTTCAGCTATCTGACGAGGATTGTCTGCAGTGAGTATATCTGCTTATACAGGCATAGAGGTCTCAGCAAGGGATATATTTCGCTATCACAACAATCGGAGTCAGAATACCTATTGCTAAAGAAGCAGCCATCCTTTTCACCCTAATGGAGGGAATTAAAAACTCATTAAAGATGAGGGGGAAAAAGCCAAAAGGAGATCTCTGGGTAACCATCTTAATGAATTGTATTCCTTACCAGGAGCAAATGCTTCTTCTTTAGATACTCCAGCTCACTGGTCATCTGGCTGGTTAAATACTGTTCTTCACAGGTTTTCTTTAAAACCACCAACCAGACAGGGAAACACTGTCATTGCTCGTTGAGTCAACATAAGTAGCATATATTGTTGCAAATTCTAGCTAAGTGGATCCATGTTGTTTTATTTATTTCAGTCTCTAGAAAGACATTTTTATTGTGTCTCATAGCGCTGTGGTTATAGCAAAGTACATGTACTAGAGAAAAATTACTTTTATCTGGACAGATAAGGTGACTGCAAGCTCAACCTTGGAGAAATATTAGGTTTAATGAGGCACTGTATAGATAAGAAGTTAGAATTAATAATTTGGGGATGTTTGGGTTTGCTTTAATATGGCCATGCCTTGATCTCGTCCCTTGACGTGACAGATGTAATCGTGCATATAAAATCTACCTGCCACTTTTCTGAATGCACCGGATGGACTTTTATCTATAGACATGGCCTTTGTCTACCAGTGATTATTCCTCTTAGATCTGGAATATGGAAATCTAGTAATTAGATTCTTTCTGTTCTCTGCCATATCATCAAATACAGATAATATTTCCGTGGGTGAGTGCGCTGGCCTTTTTTCTTTGAAATCACTATGAAAGAACTGTAGGTTGATGGAAGAGTTTGTCTGACCAATGTACAGCTGAAATGACTCATTTTGCATTCACACAGTTGAACAGAAATATTTTTCCTTATTCAGGTGCAAGGCCCACACCCGGGTGACACCATTGGATGGGTGTCACCAAAATGACTGGCAGTCATTTTGGTGTCACCCCCTCTAAAAAGTCGGGCACTCGGCCATGGGCCGAGAGCCTGACAGTGTCAGGAGAGAGGACGGTACCCGATGGCATACCTCATCGAGGACGGGTGAACGTCCCCTCCTCTCTCTGCCAGCGTCCATCACCAAGATGGCCGCCAGCAGGCGTCAATTAGATGACCGCGTGTGCGCGATGACATCACTGCGGGCTGTCATCCGGTCTCCACTGCGAGGTGTCATCTGGTCTCCGCTCTGGGTGACACCCGGCCTCGGGACGCCCCTGTTCAGGTGAACCATTCATTACTTTTTTTAAAATGCCAGCAGAAAAACACCTTGTACCGAGACCTTAGAAATTGTTTTGGAGATTTTATCATGTATTCTTGGGAGGAAAATGAGTGATTCCTACACAGGTTTCGATTATTTTCATCTGAGCTGCCTGCTAAAACTGGTAGAAGTTCCCCCACAACAGCCATTTTCATATAGTACATTGAACCAAACTCTTCGTTGTTGTACCTGATTTTGCCTCACAGACGAGCAGCAGTAAAGATTACAAAGAGTTAAGAAAACTTGAGGTAAACTACGAAATGCAATCATAAACAATAGTTGCCAGATTCTGATTTTTCCTAAACATTGTTTGAAAGAAGGGAAATTATATTCTATAATTGTATTATGTCCATAGCAATAAATCTAGTTTCAAACTCCTGCCTCCAGCAAAAATATTTTTGTAGTTTTCTAAGGTTACAGCATGTAAACTAGTCGTTACCTAAACACTCAGAGTTATTCACATAAGAGTGAAGAGTTTGGTGAAGGCAGGATAAGTGAACAATCTAGGACAACATAGCTGATTGGGAAAAATTCTCCAATTCAGCTCACTTTCCAGTTCAGCTATGTTGTCCTAGATTGTTCACTTCTCCTGCCTTCACCAAACTCTTCACCCTCTAGTAAATAACCCTGTATGTTAAATTGGTTGTCAAGGCCTGTCCTGCTTTAAAGAATAAGTGCATTAAACATGCTCAAAGATATGTAATACTAGCCATACACACTTTGATTTCTTTCGTTCAGTTCCCAAGGTTGAATAAGAGAAATCAGTTGAATCCGCCATCCACGTTGAAGCACATGGGTGAAGGAATCTTTCCTATTGTATTCAGACATCTGGCACCCCGGGTGTCTGAATATCACAACAGTGACTGCATCTGATTGGATGGAGTCACTGTTCGGCTGTCCAGGGCACCCATGGCTCAAATCTTGGCTGCATCCTGCTTAGGGGCTACCTTGAACCCTAGCCATAAACTTCTCTTATTTCTTCTCTTTTTGGTCTCTTAAATTTCAACTGAAAGTGTCTCGTTATATCTGCTTGATAACTACAAAAAAAAAAAAAAATACCAGAGCTTTCTCTGATCTATGGGAGAACAAAAAGGGCTCTTCTATTGGCTTATGCATACAGTTTTGTTGTTTTTACTGCTAAACTTTGACTTGCTAAATTCTTCTAAAAGAAAGGATTGTTTTGGTTGTTTTTTTTTCAACTGCCTTGGCGTTATATAATATCAGACGTTTGGATGCAAGTTCTTTGAAATATTATACAACTCAGTACATCTCTCTTTAGTTTGTGAGGCTGCGGAACTGTATTTCACACATTTTCTTTGTTAGTATTTATTGTGGGAAAGAAGATAAATATAACAAATATGTATTAGCAATAATGCAACACTTGTTTAATAACACTATTGCAGCTCTCATGTTTTTGTTTGGTTTATATGACATAAACAGCCTCAATGCCGTGCGTGTGTGTAAAGAGTCTAAATAATATGTCTTTGCTCACTTATTTTGTGCCTTTCATATGAGATCCGCTTAGGGCTTGTTCACACCAAATGCAGTGTGTTCCAGAGCGGCAGCTGCTGGAACGCACCGCAATCGCTCACAAAACTTTCCCCTTCGCTCTGGGGTGGGAGGGGGCGTGGCGGTGCATTGAAGTTAATGGCACCGCAGCCATGCCCCCCCCACCCGCAGTGCGATCTGACACGTGGCAAAACATTGCCTGCGTTCCAGTCCACTGCAAACGCAAAAAATGCTGCATGCCGCCTCCCACCTTAGAACAAAGGGGTTTTTCTTTTGTTCTTAAGACCCTTTGTGATAGCGTTTGGAGGTGACAGGCTCTCTTTATGGAACCTGTAACCTCCAATACAGATGATAAAGCTCAGCATTGCACAATCTTCTATACAGCTCCACATGCGCTGCTGTGCCACCGATCACAGAGCAGATTCTACAACGGACGTTCTCCGGTCTGCTCTCTATTCATCATCCTGAAATCATTGCAATGGTCCCGGGTCCCTGTAGAAGAGCGGGGTCCTCGAAAACCACAGCGGGTGGGTGGTGGCAGGGGGACGGACCTTGGAATTGGAGGATGGACCATGGAGGGGGATGGACAAAGAAGCTG